AGTGGAGCGGTTTCATGTTGGGTGGAACGGGTTTGTGTCAAAAAATTCTCCATCCATACTCAATGCGTTTATATAAACGAGTCAAACTATCACACTCATACATGAATCATTTATTAGACGAGTTACCTGAAACAACCCGCGTGTCACTCGCTAAATAAGAGAATAGATTAGAGTATTTCGAATACACGCAAAAAATCAACTTGCTACATATTACATATGTTTGACTTGTTTATTATAATAATAAATCATGATTGAGCAAAAAAATAAAGACAAAATAAATATTAAATGACTACTAAATTTGAATGAGTCTAAGAGATGGGAAGTGTAAGATGAGGCAGAGGCTAAATGAACTAATTTTTTTTTTAAAAATTTATAGTACAACTGTTAACGGGTTAAACGGGTTGAAACAAGTTTATGGGTTAAATATAAAATCAGTTCATTTATTTCACAGGTCTACCGAATTAACCCGTTAACCACCCAAACTCGTTAAGACTAGACCAAAACCCGTTAAATCCATGTCGGGTTCGTATCGGTTCCACAAGTCGTGTCTAGAATTGCCAAACCTAGCGGATAAACTAACCTTGTCAAGCTTTGGTAACGTCCTCGGCATTGATATACTTTTGTGCCTTTGACAGCAGCTCGGCCATGCTGGAGGGCCGGTTCTTTAAGATAGAGAACATAAAACTGGAGGAGTGCGAACCTGCATTGAAGGCGTCTATGGATACCTTATTGTCTAACTCCTCGATCTAGAGAGCCTCCTGGTTGAAACGAGTGAAATAGTCCCTAAAGCTTTCGTCCCGATCCTGCTTGATGGTGAGTAAGTGGGTAACCAGCTTTTGATGTCAGTGTCCCCCAATGAAGTGGGAGATGAAAGACTTGCTCGGTTCCACGAAGGAATGGATAAAGGAAGGTTTTATCTATGCGAACCATTGTCGAGCATACCCTTTCAAGGTGGTAGGGAAGGCTCTATACATTATCTCATCAGGCGCGTTGTGGAGCTGTATGAGAGACTTATAGGTGTCAAGGTAATCCAGAGGGTCCTTGGTGCCATTGAAAATCTCAATAGCGGACATCTAGAACTTCGAGGGTAAGGGATAATTGACAATATTTGCAACAAAAGGGATTTCAGTTCGCCTTACCAAGTAATCCACCGTCTCTAGCGCTTGTGNACATCTAGAACTTCGAGGGTAAGGGATAATTGACAATATTTGCAACAAAAGGGATTTCAGTTCGCCTTACCAAGTAATCCACCGTCTCTAGCGCTTGTGCTTTGGTGGCGTTGAGGGCATCGCCAAGTTGGTCCTCCACCTCCTTGATCTTCTCATCCTATTGGTTAGGAACATGCTCTGTCGGATCATTGTAGTAGCTCTCGTGATCTCCAGACTGGTTTTCCCCCTCATCCTTCTGCTCGAGATGGTCAGTTGTGTATGGTGCAGGTACATGCGGAGGAGGAGCATGTGTGGCGACTGTGCATAGTGGAGGGACTCCTCGGCGAAAGGCGCCCTGGTGCTAACTAGGGGCGCTCTGGTGCTGGGCCCCTCGGAGGGCGCCCTGGCGCCCAAAATGGTGAGGCTGTGGCATTTCTCTAATCGGGGGGAGTACCACTCCTACCAGTCGAGGGGCAACACCTCCTGAGGTGAGTATCAGCTGGATTATTTGTTGGTTTTGGCTTACCAACAACTGCATGGTCTCCGAGAGTTGTTGTCTAACCAACGAGGGATGCTACAGTAGATGGTTCTACTGGTACGGGCGAAGGTAGAGCCTCCCCCGGCGAGCTGGGTTGTTGTCTCTTGGTTGTTGATTCATTGATCTAGTCGTGATTACCATGGATTTCAAGAAAGTAACAAGGTAATAGAAAACTTAGTCGTTTTCTACACACGGCGCCAAACTGATGATATACAAAATAGACTTATGCAAGATCAACAGTCAAGCGTGTGATAAAATATAATTAATAGACAATTAATAGAACAATTAATAACAATAATGTAAATATCGGATCAACACACAAATATATAATGATTCAGTCCGAGTGACATACTCTACTCCAAAAAAACGACAACNCAATTAGAAAAATTAGAAACGTAATGAGATTCCAGAAATTAGAAACGTAATGAACAAAAAGCTTCAGGTGATCGACACATCAAGTTAGAGTGTACACAGTGGAAGTTTCAAGTAATGAACAAAAAGTTAGAGTTGATTTAGTTTGGGGCATGACAATCTATTTTAGGACTAAAATAGAAAGCTTTTAGTTACGTATAATCTTGAAAATAAATTCTGNTGGGGCATGACAATCTATTTTAGGACTAAAATAGAAAGCTTTTAGTTACGTATAATCTTGAAAATAAATTCTGATTGCAAGATGCACACATTACACTTACACAGACACATTACATAGAAAGCTATAAAACTTTTACTGTTATCACCTTTAGACGCAAGCTGCTGGAGAATCAAAGCTTGAGTGGACTTTTTTGAGTAGCACCGCAAAAAATAAGGAGGGTAATCAGAATATGAAAAACATAAAGAATATCCTCCAAAGCCAACGAAGCATCAACATGCTTAATCACGGATTTGGGCATAACACATAAAGTAATGAACATGCTTAGCCCAAAATCATGAGCCTTGGACATAGATCAGGTTGGAACTCACAACAAAATGATCATTCTAAAAGCATAGAACATGATTATAGAACATGATCTGAGTTTCTAAAAATTCCAACAAAGATCAAGCTTAATCCAG